AATTCTCGGTGAGATTCACCGTTTCCACCACATCACACTTTCTCCTTCCACTCAAAATATCTTTTAAAAACCTAGCATAGTTAGGCATTTGCTTGATAGCATCGGTAAAAGGGATTGAAAGGTGAATTTGCTTCAGTGTTTCAAGGAATTTTCCGAATTGCACATCTAATTTGTGTCTCACAAATTTATGGGGATATGGAAGTCTTTGCAATTGTTTGGTTTCTTTTTCACTCTCTTTTTCTCTTCTCTCTTTCTCAAATTCTTTTTCTTTCTCACATTCTTTCTCCTTTTCATTCTCATGGTTTTGCTCTCTCTCTTGTTCAAAATCACTTTTAAAGGGAGGCTCATTCATGTTCACTTTCTCATTGTTTTCCTTAGGGACACTCTCTTCCAACACTTTCCCACTCCTAGTTGATATAGCATTCACCGGTTTCTTGGGGTCAAGTCCTTGGGGTGGAAGTTTAGAAGTGCTAGCTCCCTCTTTTAAAGCATTGGCCAATTGAGAAATTTGTGTTTCAAGCATTTTGTTATGGGTCATTACTTCACTAAATTTCTTTTCACTTGAGGCCATGAAAGAATTGAACATTTTAGTTTGATTTTCCATCATTTCCTCCAAGCTAGACCTACTATGTGGTGCTTGTGCATAGTGGTTGTCTTGGGAAGCCCTATTACCTCTAGCATTCGAATTGGACGTATTTTGATTAGAAGAAACTCTATTATTATTGTTGTTCCAATTGTTCCGATTATTAGAGTTTCCCCCTTGGTGAAATTGCCCTTGATTCCCATAGTTTCCTTGATTATTATGATTATGGTTACCATAACCACCTTGTTGGTTGTAGTTACCTTGGGGATTTTGGTCCCTTTGGTTCCTACTTCCCCATTGATTTTGATTATGGTAATCGTAATCATTTCCTCTTTGGTTATAGGAATTCCCCCCTTGTTCTCTTCTATTTGGTGGTAAGTATCTTTGATTGTCATTCCTATGTCTATTATCATAAGACAAGGCATTGACTTGTTCATTTTCATTTTCATTACCATCTTCGTATTGGGGTTGGGGTTGGAAATCATAATTACAAGAAGAGGTATCATGGTCATAAGACCCACAATTTTCACAAAACAAACATCCATGAGGCATGTTATTAGAAGTAGAGGGAGAAGAGTTAGAATTCATACCTCTCCCCTTAGATTGGGAGGGATGCTCTTGTGTTGAACTAGAGGTCTCTAGTTTTGCCTTAATGAACGTCATCTCCTTTCCAAGGTTGGCGATTTGGGAGGTCAAATTGTTGATGGTATTAAGGTGATCAACAGAGTAAACCGCATTTCCTCCCTTGTTTAGAGAATCACTCTCTCCTTCTTGCCAATCCATGTGGTGCCTCACCACATCCTCAATTATCTCTATGACTTGCTCCTCCGTCTTGTTCATAATCGGGCCACCCGCTCCTGCATCCAAGCTAGTCTTTCCTTGTGGGCTCAAGCCCCCATAGAAAATTTGAAGCACTTGATATGACGGAATGCCATGATGAGGGCACTCCCTTTGATATTCCTTGTATCGTTCCCATGCTTCATAAATGGTTTCACTAGCTTTTTGACGGAAACCTTGGATCAAAGCTCTTGCCTCGGCCGTCTTCTTTTGGGAATAGAATCTTCCTAATAAAGTCGTGGTGACCTCGTCCCAAGTTCTCAAGGAGTTAGGCCTCACCTCCTTCTCAAGCCATTCAAGAGCTCTTCCTATCAAAGAAAAAGGAAACAACTTTAGTCTCACAAACTCTTGAGTTACCCCATTTACCTTGATCGTGTTACAATATTTTTCGAACTCGTTCAAGTGTGCAAGAGGGCTCTCATGTTTTGCTCCACTATATTGCCTCCTTTCAATCAAATTAATCATTGCGGGCCGAATCTCGAAGTCATTGGCTTGAGTAACGGGTGAAGCAATGCCGCTTGAAGCTCTATAAGCTCCCGGAGTTCCCAACTCCTTTAAAGGTCTTTGAGGTGGTGGTTCCGCGTCACCCATTTGATCTCGATCCTCCTCGAAATTGGTCTCTCTAGCTGGGGGAGTAGTAAACGGCCTAGAACCGGCTCTTTTTCTCCTTCTATAAGTTTGCTCAATCTCGGGATCGTAAGATACCAAGATCCTGTTATGAGTTCTGCGCATACACTCTCAACAAACGCAATTAGTACCAAGGCTACAAGTGTAGCCAAAAAGAGACAATCTTTTTGAATTTTTTTTTATGGTGAACTAGACTCAAGTAATCAATTAGCTATCAACAACACCGTTCCCCGGCAACGGCGCCATTTTGATGGGCGTTAGAACGGTCGTACATTCCACACTCAATCAAACACATTTATTAACAAACACCTTACAAACCAAGCATAATGACAAGTAAGAGTTCGGTCCACAAGGAACATGATATGATTGCCAAAGATCTTTACACTTAAGCTAACTCGAAGTCAATTGGTGAATTGGGGTTCGTCAAGAAGACAAACAAACTATGGTTCTAAATCAATGAATTAAAGATACTAGGGAATGAGATCCACTCAACCAAGGCAAATAGGCAAACGGGGAGTAAAATAGACAAGATATAGCAAGGACTATATGTAAAATCAACCTCATGCAATTAGAAAACAACTCACACTACTAAACTTAGATTCCTCATTAGTTTAGCAATAGATGATACATAATCAAATTACAATAAGTAATGACGTACTCAATTTACACTTCCATGTCAAATTAGGCATATCATACTATCAAGCTCCTTAGTCAAGGGTAGCTAAACCTATCATGAGGAACTAACAAGCAATCTCATATAATCAATTTAATTGCAATACAAACATCAATGCTTCTCCCACATTTGCATAGTTAACCCAAAAGGTCGAGCTTCACCCAACCCCTAGCAAGAAAACTACTCACAACTCATGTTTATCAACATGCAATCAAGAATTAGGGTTCTAAATACTTCAATAATTGGGGAAAAGTGGTTAACAATTGAAATAACTATCATCCAATAACAAATTACCAAGAACTAAGAAGATTTAAATAACATGCAAATACCAAATAAAATCTGAAATTAAAAGGAAGAAGGTTGGAGAAATTACTAATTGAAGCTTCAAATGTTGAATACAAATTGCCAAACTTTGAGAATAATTCTTGAATTTCACTAATACAATGATTTAATTTGATGAAAACTAAGCTAAATTAATCCTAAGGAATGTTTCAAACTAAGAGAGGTTTCTGAAAACTAGGCTACTGTCCTCCTTCTCCTTCCTTTTTTTAAACGATCTCAAAAGGACCTTAAATAGTCCGTACAAAATTGGCTGAGATCGGGAAAAGGTCCGACCGAACTCTGGGTAGGTTCGGTCGGACTCAGGGTAGGTTCGGTCGAACCCTGTGTAGGTTCGGTCGAACCCTGTGTAGGTTCGGTCGAACCTCCCTGATCCTTGTTTGGTCGAACTTTTGAGGTTCGACCTCTCCTGCAAAATTGCTGAAAACTGGTTTGACACTGCCTTCACTGCACCCTGGAGGTTCGGTCAAACTTTTCAAAAGTTTGACCACACCAAGGTTCGACCGGACCTTTCAGAGGTTCGGCCACACCTCCTCTTGCACTTCCTTTTCTTGCTTCCTCTCCTTCCCTTTTGCTCCTCTTGCCTTTGTCCATGGCTTCCATACTTGGCCAAGGGGCCTCCCACCGTGCATAGGACCGTCACGGAACATGCAGAAGATACCAAAGTTCACGAGAGCATGGGGATGATAAAATAATGCATAAAGATTATCAAAATAAGCATTACTTTTCATCAACACAAAAAGAAGCCATAAGAGGATAATGAGGTGGAAAAACCTAAGAAAAATAAGAGGAAAAAGACCTAAATACTACCCCTAAGAGTGACATAAATGTCACTCATCAATGCTGGTGTTTTGGGGGAGGTGGGGACGGGATTGGGTGCAGTACGCAGGAATAATGAGGGGTGGTGCTTTGGGGAGCTACGGTGTAGTGGAGTGAAAAATGAGAGACTAAGATTGCAGAGGTGAAAGCGGTATTTTGGGGCATGAAGATTGGGAGACACAAGGGTATGAGCTTCATTGGGATCGAGAGTGATAATCTGGTGGTGATTGAGGCAATGAGGAAGTGTTTGTAAGACTCCGGTTCCTTTCATCTGATTATAAAGGATATTCTAGATTTTTTATTTCTTCTAATTTTACTAGTGATTCATGATCTTTTGTAAAGCGAGGGGGTAATAATGTAGCACACAAATTGACTTACTTTCAACCATGGGAGTTTGGCCAATGGGTGTGGAGTGATGTAATCCCTCCTCACATTTTGGAAATTTATTCGGTTGATCTAGATGGGTTTTTTTCAAAACAAAACAAAGTATTAAAGTTCTCACTTCTAAAGTTATTCACAAATAATTTTCTGTTTTACACAAATTACTAACCAACTCACACAATTAACTAACTTATACAATTCTACTCTTGCTAGTCTGCAACTGTATTTATAATAAAAATGTAGGTGACCGTCAGCTGATGTTAAAACCGCAAAGGTAACACTACCTATACAATTGCATAATTCACACTTCACATGACACAATTAATTTGTCATAATGGCCACGACAAAAGAGTCGTCCTAACCACATTTTTTTTGAGGAAAACTCATCTTAATCACATTTACGACATGATAACTTGTAATTGACTTAGGTTACCATACTTTCCTTTCGTTTGTTGTAAACTCAGTTTAATTAATGTAATTTCAGCCGTTTTCAATTTTTTTTCTTTTTTTTTTTAAAAAAAAAAACAAAAAAAAAACTTACAAACAAACTATACAAGGTTTGGTGTGTGAAGATAGTATTTGAGAAATGGAAGTGTAAAAATAAACTAATACTCCGTACTTTATGAAACAGGTTTATTCTAAACCCTTAAAAGGTCTACCCTGCCCTTTAATTGGACGATCGTATGAAGACTCAGCCCATTTATTTATTAAATGGATCTAACCCATTAATAACTGTGGCGGGTCATGGGTCATGGCTTTTAGGCGTCCAACCCATTGAAGTGCTCTATTGAAGCGCATTCAACGTTCTCCATAGAAGCGCAGTTCTCCATTGAAGCGCAGTTGCCGTTCTCCGTTGAATCTAGTTCTTGTATCCCCCATTGAAGCAGCTTCTGAGGTAAGTTGTTTGTATAATTGTATTTGTTATCATCATATCAAATATCCCTAAAATTATGAGATAATTGAATCAAATATCCCTAAAATTATGAGATAATTGAATCAAATTTGGTTGCTAATGTATTGCACAACACTTTAATGTTAGGATTCAACTATGAAATCAGAGCTCTTTTCCCTGGGCCCAGGGCTGCCGCCCCTCCTGCCCTTCCTCTGGGACGGGCCTGACTATATAATGGATAAATATTACGAGTACATAACTTTTTAATAAATGTACTTATTTATTGAATTGTTTGTGGGTAGGTTATAAAGATGGGGAAGAAGAAGTTTTTTGATAAGAAAAAATCAGCAACCTTTCAACTTCTTTCACGGGATTCTTCTGATCCTATATATGTTGAGGAGCCGGAGAATGACCGGGTTTTTGTTCGTGTTGATAATAATCGGGTTAAGATTAATGGGTTAGATGAGGACAATGATGATGAGGATTACTCGAACGACCCGGAGTCGATTTATGCTGATGCCCCTGAGGATGGGGGTTATCAAGGGTTTAGGAGTTCAGGTACACTTCCTGATCATGTAAGGAGGGAGATATTGGAGCTTGGATTCCCTGATGATGGTTATAATTATCTAAATCATTTGAGAGAGATTCGAAATACGGGTGGTGGCTCAGCTTATTATGAAAATCCAAAGGCTGAACTTCATCAACTGCCTAATGATGTTAAGGTGATTCTTGCTATGTCTTTATTAGATGATATTGCTGTCGTATACTTTTGCAATATGATTTGAAGTGTTCCTTGGTTTGGAATCAATAATCGCGTTTATTATTTAACATGTTTTGAAGAATTGACACATTTCTTAGAATAATAATGACCTATGTTTGTATTATGAAATTTTTGAACAATGTGATAATTACTTATGGAACAATGGAAGGATTGTATGTTTTTAGAATTATTTTGTTAATAATTTCTCTCCTTTACTCCCTTTCTTATAAGTAGTTTTTTGTGGCGTATATATACTCTGTATTTTTTTTTTTTCTCATTTTAAATGCCAACATGTTAACCTGGAAATGCTTAATTGTAAACAACTACTGCCTCGGTTCCATTTTTATTGTCTTATTTGGATCTTTATAGATTACAACACAAATGGAAATAACACTCGTGATTTCATCCTCATGTATAGTTTCACAATATCAATTTGTATAATTCTTTGTAATACGTATTTGAAGAAACTTATGTTTGAATGTGTACATTGGTAATTGTGCATATAGTGAAATAGGAGTATTATTTTGGATATGAAGTAGTCATTTTTCTTGTTTTGTCACGGTCTTTTTAACTTATGTTTATTTTTGGGACTTGTTGGCCAATACTTTGGGGTAAGTACTAATCTTGATTACTATGATCTCAGGCATACGATGCTTCAAGAGTGCGGATAAAGGAAGCAAGTGAAATTACAAGTCCTAAAACATTGTATAATGTCGCAGAGAAAACTGTTACTGTGAAAGTACAAAAAGCTGTAGATCCAGAAATTGCTAATTTACTTGAAGACAATGAATCAGAATTTGGTTCTGATATTGATGAATTGGAGGAGGATTTTGTTGTTCTTGCAAATCATTCAGAGGAAATAGGAGATGTGTATGAAGAGGAGAGTTTGTCTTCTATTAGTAATCCTCACGCTGAAGTTCAAACTGGAGTAGCCTATAACTCTACAGCGGAGGTGGTTCGAAGTGTTAATGAAGATAATAGACCTCAGCGTTTGCTTGACCAACAGTTTGATATTGTAAGATTTTCTCTCTGGAGCTATTGCTCTTTTAGTATCAACCTATTATGTCTGAGACACAATTCTGACTAAGAGGGTGTTTAGTTCTCAATATATAACTAAGCTTCTGGCTACAATACTTAATTTTTCATCCATTAAAATTGCTAGTGTGCGAGGCTTGTTTAACTTGTACATCCTCTATATTGCTGATAGTATTATCCTTTGTGGTTTTTCGGCAGCTTGAACAACAAGAATATGGGTCAGATAGTGATGATGATTATAAAAATTATGTAGCCGAAGAAGAAGATATATCACTTGCAGAAAAGCTCAATAGTGTTCTCAAAGATCGTGTGGTTGATGACTTAGAATTTGATGGAAATTACACAGCTCCAGCTGAAATTCTTCGCCGTTGTGCTGAATATGCTGAGAAATATGAGAATGAGGATGGAAATGATAAAGAAGTGGTAATTGTGGAAGAAAGTAGTGATGAGTCAGAAATTTGGGATTGTGAGACCATTGTCTCTACATACTCGAACCTTGACAATCACCCAGGGAGAATTGGAGTCCCTGGAAGAAATCGAAAGAAAATATTGGCTGAGACATTTTCCGGGGCGCTGAAAAGTGGTTCTGACAAGATTATTACTCTTGGAGGAAAGGCAAAGCTTCCTGTGGATTACTTGCCTCATGGAAAGAAGGAACCTAAAGAGACAGCCAAAGTAGTTGCCAAACCAGAGGTGCCAAAAAGAAAACCACATGGTCAGGAGACCAAGGAGGAGAAAAAAGAAAGAAAGGTACTTGTTTTTGTAGAAAATATATTCACTGTTAGACAGATGTTGATTGTTCAATACACACACCCTAGTCACTAGGTTTCCACAATGATGAAAATCCAATTTAGCATTAATTGCATTTGCTTATTAAGAATCCTGTCTTAACAGATCTAAGGTAGGTATTATGGCTTATAGTATCGTAGTGTTCAATCATGCTTTACTTTTATTCCCCTACCCTGAAATATAAAGGGTATTTGTATTTAAAAGGGCTAAACTGCTAATGCTTATGTGTAGGCTGCTGTAAAGGAGGAAAAGCGAGAGGCTAGACGTTTGAAGAAAGATTTGAAGGAACTGTACCGTGATGAAGCCAAACTTGCTCAGAAAGTTGCTGCTGTTACTGGCCCATCATCCATACATCTTATGTAGGTATGTTATTGGTTACCCGCTCACTTACTCCCAAGCACCTTTCTTTAGCCACTTTAAATGCTTTATTTTCATAATTATTGTCACTTGCTCTCCTGAAAGAATAAAACTTGATTTTGCCTTTATGATGTAGAGAATTAGCATTTTGAAATTCCCCTAATAAGTTCCTCACATAAAATAATATCAAGACAAGACATAACTTCTGGACAAAGGCTGTATTAGTTTGAAGAAAGTTCAATTAGCAGCTTTAATGCACTTGTCTCCCTAGAATGATTGGACAATCAAGAGGGGTTTTGTACTTCTTGGGATGAACTAGACCACATTTGGGTTTCCTTGGGATTTGGTAATGTATTGGACTAAATTTTAACCTACCCCTATGGCCTATAGATTTATTGAGCAATAACTGCATATGGGGTTTAGCTGGGATAGTACAAGCAATATATGGATCCACGATCTTGCTGTCAAGAATTTTTGGACGTAAATTTTTAGACTTAGTCACGGAGTCTCCTGCTTGTTATAAACAAATATGTTTCACATCACTAATTATGGTTATTTGAAGGGTGTTTGCTTGAAAGGTCAATCATACTTGAGATAATTCCCATTGATGACTAATTTTTGGCTTGATATTACCCATCAATCCATCATGCCATTAGATTAAAATCCTCTGACCAAATTATATACTGAACTGATATTTGCAGATAAGGCTGAGCAAAACTATCTGAAGATCCGAAAATCCGATGATCCGATCCGCATCCGATCCGAAAATTATGGATATCCGATCCTGATTTTTCGGATATCGGATCGGATATCGGATATCCCAATTTTGGATTTCGGATGTCCGATATCCGAAAAAGTCGGATATCGGATATCTGAAAAATCCGGATCGGATATTGGATATCCGATCCAATATCCGAAATTTACTTGTTTTTCCTTTTTTATTTCTCGAATTTTCTAAAAAAAAAATATATAAAAAGAAAATTCTCGAAGGTCGAAGTAGTGAACCCTAATTGACCTAATTCCCTAAACACTCCTCTCTCTCAAACGCAGTCAAGCCTCTCTCTCTCCCCTCTATCTCTCTCTTCTCGTTCTCTGGCTCTCTCCTCTCAAACTCTCAAGGCTCTCTCCTCTCAAACTCTCAAGGGTCTCAGATCTCACTTCAAAAGTTCAAATCCCTTACCTAAATTGAAATTTCTGAATTTCTAGGGTTTTTATTTTTTGAAATTGGTCGTTGAAGGCTTGAAGCTCCATTCATCCTCGTGCTCTCCGCAATTGAAGGTCCTCTATTTTTAATTTTTGGTGAGTTTTTTGTTTTTCATTTTCAAATCAACAAATATAAATGTCATATTGTTTGAACGGGGTTCTTTTTATTTTTTTGTTTAATTTTCTGTATATTTTTTGTTGTATGTTGAATTATTGATGTGGGTTTTGACGTTTTGTTTAACTTCTTGTTTATTTTCTGTTTAATTTCTTGTTAAATTTTCTGTTTTTTTTTTGTTGTAGGTTGAACACTTGAACCTCGTGCTCTCCGCCATTGGAGGTCTTTTATGGTGAGTTTTTTGTTTTTCATGTTTAACGGGGTTTTTTTTTTTTTTTTTTTTTTTTTTTTTTTTTTTTGTCTAATTTTTTTTGTTGTATGTTGATGTGGGTTTTGTTTATTTTTTGTTTGATTTTTTGTTTAATTTTCTGTAAATTTTCTGTTTTTGTTAAATTGGCCGTTTAAATTTCAGTTTAAATATTCTGTTTTTGTGAATTTTGCCATTTAATTTTCTGCTTGCAAAAATCGAAGACCTGTGATCATATTATTGAATGAATGGCTATGATTTGATTGATATGAACCTTATAATGAAGATTGATGGACCATTTCACCTGAATTTTTTACCAGTAATCATGGAACGGGTCAAGGGGTCATCTATAATAGCAAAGGCTTTGTTGTTGGATTTTAACTTTTATTGGTTTGTATATTTCTGCTTAATCTGATGCATATATGATTATATGATTACATGAACTCAAAAGTACAATGTTTGTGTCCTGCTTGTATTTTGGCCGCGTGTCTTTTAATATATCAGCTAGCTTATTTGATTATGGCAATGTCTTGATGATCTTTTCATATGATCTTTTCTGATGACAGTAATTCAATGAATTATTAGATGATTTTTAGGAACATGGACTTAAAACTCTGACATTTCTTCCTCCAAAATGCCATTGGCCCATTGCTCTGTTCTTCATGTGTATGTTGGTTTACAAAGCATGTCATAGATTGCTGGCAGAATTTGTGTTATGCTTCATTTAAAGACAATAGCTCGGCTCTTTTCTAAGCATTCCTATTTCCATCAAAGCACACGGAATCTGAACCCTTGGAATTAAGAATGCATAATGTGTTTTATATGGTACATATTTACTCTACATTGATCTTTTGCTGATAGATGAATAGATCTTTCATATGATGACATTATCCAAGTGATTAATTTAAAATGTATACAATGTGTTGTGTTATGGTAAGATTCATGGTAGGTTTAATGAACTTGGTATCTCAAATGTTGGGGCTGGGAACTTCAAATGGTTTGGAAAAAAAAAATATACATTAATGAAATTTAGCTGATTGTTGTGAGGACTTGATGTTTTGTGACTGTTTTCTGATTTATCCAAGCGCATGACAGCAATTTTCTTTAAACTTAGTGCATGACAGCAATATTAATGAATAAATGGCATTGAAGTTGTCATATGTTGTATATCAGGCTTCTGCTGTGTAGCCTCTGAATACTTCTGGAGTTTGAACCTTTTATTTACTAAAAGTATAGTATACTAAAGAAGAAAAACAAGTCATGTATTTGGGTTTTCAGTGAAGTTGGTTGATTAAGTTTCTTAACTTCAAATAGCTGATTCGTGTGTATAATTCTTAAAATCTAAAAAGTATTAGATCTAATTGTCTAATTCTTTATTTGAATGTTCCTGTGTTTTCTAGGTACAATCACAAGAATCAACTGGTGTGCTTCATTACCAAACTGGTGGAGCATGGGATCCTTATGATGTGAATTTTGTTACATTAATTAGTGAATCAACAATCTAGCTTTGGGATTTACAAACTTTGAAGTTTGAACATTTCTTTGTTTTGTAATGTGACAATTAGTATGCAAGTTCTCTAAAATTTCCTTATATTGTAATATGTTATAATTAGTTGGACTTCAGGTTTTTTTAGTCACTTTGTGAGTGTTATTCAATCCGTCACTTTGGTTTGTTCAGGTTATTTGATTACTTAATTTATTCAGGTTATTTAATTACTCAATTTGTTCAGGTTGTATAACAGCAAAATAACTAAAATATACATATGAATTTGTCTTTTTAAAAAAGTAATTTTGCCTTTAAGAGCTTAATTTAGTATAAAATGATTGATATTAAATTATTAATAAAAGAATCGGATACTGGATATCTGACATATCCGATCCGAAAATTTCGGATATCGGATATCCGAAGCTTTCGGATCGGATATCGGATATCAGATTTCTAAAATTTCGGATACGGATATCCGATTGGAAATCCAATTTCGAATCGGATATCCGATCCGTGCTCACCCCAAGCCCTAATCTACTTGTTTGTGGTAAGAAGGTGTTACTTCCTATAGTGAATTTGAAGCTGAGAGTTAGTTTTTGCCACAACCTTGTGAGGTCTCATTTTTCTAGCCTTCTACCTATCTTGTGTGAGTGGCATGGATCCTTGACTACCGCTTTCTCTTATCTAGAACTTGACTTTTCTCTCCCGAGTTCGCGACCGAACCATTTGGGAAGGACAAATGCATCTTTTCAGGTTGGTTATTTTTCATCTTCTAGGTTTAGTTTCTATATTTTTGATTTGGGTTTACATTTGCCTCCTTATTACCATTTGAGACTTATACCTTCTTTTCAAGCCTTATTACTAGCTTTCTAGCCATTTGTTTCATTTTTGTCTCCATTCTTGGTTTTTGTGAAGCATGTGGTCCTTCGTTTGTTGGTGCTTATGGTGAATAGGTGTGGATATTTGGTTCTTTTACTAAGCAAGCATGTGTTGTTCATAGTTTGTGAATAAAGGCATATACAAGTTGAAAGAGTCGTCCATAGTTAAAAGAGGCGAGGACAAAACAATAAAAATAAAGAGCAAAAGCTAATCCTTCAATAAAAAAAATAAAAAAATCAAAAAAAATTGAAAAAGAAAAAAAACTCAAAAACATTTTATTGTGGTCGTGATCTCCCTAGTTATAAAAGCATTGAGGACAATGCTTTCTTCAAGTTTGAGGGAAGAGTTCCTATACTATTTATGTATAGTTTTGTGATGTGGCGTTGAATAAGCTTGGGGGGAATGTTGGTATTTTTGTTTGAATTTTGGATGATACCTTGGTTATGGTACTAAGAATTGGCCATTCTTTGCCTCATAATTTATGTATACCACCAAATTTCAAATTTTTAGCCTACCATTATCCCTTCTCGCCCTTATGTTACAACCTTCAAAGCCCTTTTGACATTTATGGTTGAGTCACAAGTCGGTGGAGGGAGATAGGAGTCAAGCCTATGGAGCGAGTATGCATAGTCGGGTAGCCCTAAATCTTTTCTTTTCCGATTACTTCGAGGAATCATTGAGATGCTCACTTGAGGTGGATTTGAAACTAGTAGGGAGAATGAGGTAAGATTGTTTGGGATGAAGGTGAATTATGTTTTGTTAGTTCTTTATGCTTAGCGTATTTGATGTTTCAATCAACCTTGGATATCTTGGAGCATGCAACCCCTTGTTTGTTTAGAAAGTTTTAATCTATTTGTGTTTGACTTTTCGCGAAGGTCCATTTCGAAAGCATTTGTGTTCCTTTTATTTTTGGTTTCATTTTCCTTTTATGCTTTGCCTCGTTTTACCATGAGAGTTATGGGTTAAGCTCTTTGGAAACCCTTACGAGACCTCACTCGTCCTCATTGGCGACTTTGGGGTTTTAAGGGCTTGTTGTAGCTAAAAACAATCGTGATTCCTACGATACGTTAGTGAGTCTTAGTGTATATTCTTGTCTCCTTTCTTTCCTTTTTCTTATTTGAATAAGTCTTTCATCCTACTCCTACTTGCTTTTGCAATTGCTCGAGGACGAGCAAAAGTTTAGCTCGGGGGAGTTTGATGAGCGCCATGGCACTCAAATGGCATTATTTTGGGATGATTTTAGTTTCTTTCATAGCTTTCTTTATGCCTTTTTCCTTAGTTTTAGTCTTTTATTGTTTAGTTGATCTCATTCTGGTTATTTCTCCCTTTTCCTTGTATTTTTGTAGTTTTTATCGTCTTTTCCCCTTTACTTGTTTTCCTTTCTTCATTTTCAGGTCTAAGGTGAAGTCCTAGGCCCTTCATGGTGATTCCTCGGGTTAGAAGATGCTCAAGTGCAAGGTGGAAGCTCTCATATAGCTCACAAAGAAAGGGATGGCCTACCCCAAGACTTGATGCTTGCGCCTTCATGCTGTGCTCACATGAAAGTATGGTGTTGAACCCACCGTAAACTCATTTTGGGACTGCCACCCCAATGACGATCAAGAGGAGCGCACCTCTTGCATTGAAGAGCGCATGGAGGAGATCCCCTGTTCCGGGGGCGCGGGTGCACACTTCGGAGTGAGGGTGCGCCTGTACGGGTTTCTTTTGGACATCCACTTTATTTCCCCTTAGTTAGTTATTCTAGAGAGAGAACTATTCATTGAGTTCTTAGAGAGGCTAGAGAGAGAAGTTTTAGAGTGAGTTTTGGGGAGCTTTTAGATTTAGAGAGAGAAACTCTTGGATTTTGATTTGTACTTCAACAATTGCTTCAATCAAGTTTGGATGGATTTCCTTCAATCAATGATAACTAGTGAGATTTTCTTCCTTTAATTCCGCTCCATTGCTTGATTTTGCTTTTGATTCATGAATTATTGCTTGATTTGTTGATCTTTTGGTTAGTGGTTTGATTGATTTGTATTTTACTTGATTTAGTTTAAGATGATGATGTTTGTGATTTACTTAGTTTTGTTCTTCAATATCAATATGCTTAGTGAGTAGACTCCTTGCTAGGGAGATGGTGAAACATGCATGAATGATGGATTATTGCTAATTGATGGATTTTGATTGATTGAATGTTGTGATTAAATTGGTTGATAGAATTGTGCATGTGGTTGAATTGTTAAGGAGTGATCAACCTTGATTTTCAAGCTAGATTACATTGTGATTTC